AACAATATTAAAAGTCTGCATCTTGTTTCTTTAAATACAGACACACATCACAGTAATGCCATAAAACTGTTCATCCTCTTTGTCAGAGCTGGGTTAGGGTACAGGCATACCACTCAGGTGTATGGCAAGCTGAGATACCATCAAGAGAGCAAAAGAGTATACATGACCTAAGGACACATTGGTGGAGGGTGACAACGCCAAGGCTTCACCCAAATCATCCAACCTCAAAATAGATGCTCTTTCCACTACTACATTAGCTAGCATGTGGTCTGCTCCAGTATAAGAGGTAATGTACTAAGTAAGGTAAGAGCACTGGATTAAGAGCTGGGAAGCCAAGTTATGAAATTTATGGTCTTGAACATGTGTGGTCTTGAACAAGTTACTTCATCTTCCCCTCTCCAACTGTGTCCAGGTCTATAAAATGAGGAGGCTGGAACAGATGAACTTCAAAGTCTCTTCATCAGATACGTTTTTAGAGAAATCACTATTGATTAAAAACCAAACAAAAACAAACAAACCCCTTAAGATGTCAGAACCAGAAGGGATTTCTAAGACAGTCATCTAAGACAGTAGTTCTCAACCTGAATGAAATGTTAAACTGTTAAAATGTAGAGGATGGAAGAAAGTGAATGAAGAAAGGGAAGGAAGGAATACCTATGTGTGAAAACATACAGCTGTTCAGGTCCCACCCCCCGAGAACCTGATTCTGGTTTGGGATGAGGTCCAGAAATCTGTATTTTTAACTGTAACCCCAAGAGTCTGATGCAGACAGTCTTCATATCATGTTATAAAAAATACTTCTAAGGAAGCTGAGGCCCTGACTAACCAGCTAGTCAGTGGCAGCTATATATGCTTTGTTGAATGCTTACTATATGCCAGACACCACCTTTTAAGGAAAATGCTATTATTTCCACTTTACAGATGAGGAAACTGAGATACAAGAAGATTTATTAACTTGCCCAAGAGTATGCATCTGTTAAGTGGCAGAACAAGGATTCAAAGCCAGCCACTGGCTCCAGAACCTATGTTCTCAACAATTAAGATATAAAAGCTGCGCTTTAAGATCACACTGACAGTTCAGCCAGGAGACAGAAATCCACATATGAGGTTAGGAGGGTCTGGATATAGCTTACAGAAAGCAAGGTTTAATACCACATTTTAATAGCCCAAACAAATCCAGCCAGGAGACAGAAATCCAGCTACAAGGTTAAAAGGATTTGGATATAGTTCTGGAAAGCACGGTCAATTTTAATAGCCAAAATAAATGAAGCAAACAATTTTTCTTCATAGCCTGCTCTGTAGAACAAAATGCTTTGATGTATTTTGGGGAAAAGAACTTACTGCAATGATCTAATCTACGTTATTCTGTGATGGAGACTGGAAGGTTATATTTGCATACCTATTTTTAAGATCAGGAAACGAGAATTGCTTTGTTTTTAAAGTCTGTTTCACAGGAGCAGAAATTCACATCTACTTAGGGAAAGCTAGAAGCACATTTGCATCTCTTTATTACATTTCTTCATGGCAAGTTAAACTACAGCTGCAGGAAATAAAATAAAAACACTCCCCCCAAATCAAGATAAATCAAAGAGAATGTAAGGTAACAGCCTCTCATTCCCACAGAGCAAAAGTTTCTCTATTCATTCAGCTTCTGCTCCACTGAGAGTAACATTTTTCTCCATGTTCTCTTCCACAGTACCCTCGTTTTCAGACAGAGGTACCATTCTCTAAGGCAGTTTCTGAAGACTGAGGTGGCAGATCTGAAGTTTTTTCTCTGCTAAATTCAATTATGCAAATGTTTATTCTGTGTCGATCACTACAGAGAACTATAAGAACTGCTCATGGGAAACTGGACCAATACAAATTGGTAGAACAATTCAAGACAGTATGTCATATTAAATGACAGCTTAATTCCTATGTGCAATAAATGCCAGAGACTTCAGAGGAACAACAACTCAATGTAAGGCTGAAGCGAAGTTTTCCAAGAAAAAGCACCTAAACACCTCCTCACTTATTTTCTCTTTCCTTGGCCCCTCAGTTCAGCCAAGTGCTCCTTTGTGAGGCCTTTTACCTATCTCTGCTGCTCAAGTTAGGGTTCCCCTCACCTTGCATTCTATTTTTATAGCCATTGACAAAGAACATTTACCAATATTATACAACTTAATATTTACAGTAAGCCTACAACATGTATAGGAATCCACATTGTTTACATAAGGAAATTTAAGTTCAGTAACATCACATAACTTACCCAAGGCCATGTAGTTCTTAACATGCTACACTAGAACTCAAATTTTTCTTTTCATACTAAATCCTATATGCTAATATAGTATAAGGCCTTACTAAAAGATTTCTAATTTCTACCTTGCCAAACTATCTGAGTAATTTTTCTAAAACCACTTTATATATAGTCTCAAAAACCTTCAACGGCTTCCTCCTCCTACTTCAAGCTATTCATGCCCTTCTCAACCTGATTCTACCTACTTGTCACTACAGGTTTCTGAGAGAATAGTCAAGTCAACTAACTACACGAAAAACATCAGGCACCAACCATGTACCTTTTTGTTCAAAGACATTCTTACCTGGAATGCTGTCTGTTTCTGTCTCTGTCTCAAAATAAGGTCCCAGCTCTGCTCTCAAACATGAGGTGTTTCCCTGGGGCTCTCAACCCCTTATCAATTAGAAATCAAAGATCATCCTCTCATTTTAACTTCTGTAAAAAGTACACATTTGAACACACCAAATACATAAAAGTTTGGGTACCCCATGTCCTAAACACAGCTATATTAAGTACTTTCTGACAGCAGGATTCTTGATTTTTTTTCCTCTGCCATCACACATCTGTATTAGACGCTATAGGTTACAGAGATCAATCACATGTATCATCTCCTTTGATCCTCCCCAAAACTTTAATATTTCAGATGAAGGAAGGGAAGATTAGTGAGGTTAACTGACTTGCCAGCCTACATATAGTTTGAAAGTAGTGGAGCTACACTGAAGCCCAGAT